CCCCAGTCCTTACTGATGGCATGATATGTTACTTGAAACATCTGATCTGTGATCACCATAACATGTTTAAAAAATTGTTCCCTGGTAGAAAATTAATTCCTAAACACCACCTAATGATTCACTATCCAAGGTGTATTAAGAAAATTGTCCCTCTTATCCACATATGGTGTATGCGTTTCGAAGCAAAACACAATTTTTTTTTTAAAAGGGCTGTCAAAAATTTTAAAAACCTTACAAAATCTCTAGTAAAGCAACATTGTCAATTGGCCTTTTACTATGAAAATTATTGTTTTAAAAGATTTCAGTTCGGTCCTTTAAAATTAAAAAGAGTTGATAGCATGGAAGGTGGACATTTGTTGTGCGAGTCATTAAATGTAGATTCATGTGTAAATGTTTCAACTACAAATTGGGTTAGAAATTATGGCACTGAATACCAGGTTGGTTTGTTTTTATGCACTGGAATGTCCAGTGATCTACCAGTCTTTAAGAAAATTTGCTATATCATAATACATGAACAACATGCATTCATATTAGGCTGTACTGTCAACACCTTGTACTTTGATGAACACTTTCATGCATACTGCATTGAAGAAAAAAGTAATGAGCATGCTGTTATTTCAATTGACCAGCTCACCTATGTTAGACCCTGTGACAAGCAATATTCAAAGGAAAATGAGAAGATATACATTATTCCATATTGTTACATGTTTTAAAAAATGTTTTGAAAATGTGGGGCATATAAAAATAAATCTTTTTCAGAAGAACATTGGCTCTTTTTAATATTTTTTTCCCCAAGGAATTTCTAAAAGATCAAAACAGTAAAATTTACACTTTTTAGAATTAATTAGACGATAACTCTTTTATAGTCAAAATAAAATACTCTGTAAGAGTTTATATATTAACTCTTAACACCTAGTTAGTGTTAATGAGTGTTAAATTTTCAACTCCAGGCAGATTTGATATTTAACACTAAATCAGAGTTCATGTACCAACTCTCCAAAAAGAGTTAAATTAACACTCTCTGGTGTGGACCCATATAGAAACTTTAATAGTGTTGAAATCAAATCTGACGGTGTTAATTTGGACATGCTGGATTTGCTGTGTAGGGACGCAGTTTGTCCAGTACTTTAGCTATAATGGAAAAAGACACAAAGCTGGATTTATTCTGTGTGTTTACACTGCACAGCTGCCTCTTCTTCTGTCATTCTCTCCCCCTCCTCCTCCTGTTGCTACTTCAATCATGAAACTCGATTGAAACCAGGATCCTTTTCTATGTAGCTGACAGCTGGTAACTGTGCAGGGGCGGGTCTAGCAAAGTTTTGCCAGGGGGGCAGGTGGGGCATTAACAGGGAGAGGGGGGCACAAAGAAACACTTTTTTTTTCTTATTCTCATTTAAAATATCTAACTTTAATTAAATTAACTTTAATTAAATAATTATCTGAATCTTGCGAACAAAGTTTTTATCTGACGTAAAATGTATAGAAATCATACATATACCAACAAGACAGTGTACATCACTGTCACAACAGCATTTGTTTTCATTCAAAGGCTTTATGGCTTTAATACCTGGTGGGCCGGTCTCTAGTCAAAATGCCCGATTTTTTTGTCCCAGTCCAGACCTGCAGGTTAATACTGGCAGTGTCACCATGCCAGCTGACTGTATTTCATCATCAGCCACTGTTGTTCTTTATACATCAGTGTTACCAAAGTTTATCATAACGCAGCATAGAAAGTATTTACTTGCTTTCAGGTTTCATTCAAATGTTAGCCTTTTCATTTGTTTCCCCACTTTTTTCCTGTTTCAAAATCAAACACCAGTTTGTGAGAAAATTCTTCTTTTTTTAATAGGCAGATAAAGTTTTGCATTGGCTTATTTTCCAGTTGTATGTTAAAAATGTTCGTATTTTAATATTCAAAAATGCTTTTGCCCAAAACATATCTGCACTATACAGTGGGGCAAAAAAGTATTTAGTCAGCCACTGATTGTGCAAGTTCCCCCACTTAAAATGATGACAGAGGTCAGTAATTTGCACCAGAGGTACACTTCAACTGTGAGAGACAGAATGTGAAAAAAAAAAAATCCATGAATTCACATGGTAGGATTTGTAAAGAATTTATTCGTAAATTAGGGTGTAAAATAAGTATTTGGTCACCTCAAACAAGGAAAATCTCTGGCTCTCACAGACCTGTAACGTCTTCTGTAAGAAGCTTTTCTGTCCCCCACTCGTTACCTGTATGAATGGCACCTGTTTGAACTCATCATCTGTATAAAAGACACCTGTCCACAGCCTCAAACAGTCAGACTCCAAACTCCGCCATGGCCAAGACCAAACAGCTTTCGAAGGACACCAGGAAAAGTATTGTAGACCTGCACCAGACTGGGAAGAGTGAATCTACAATAGGCAAGCAGCTTGGTGTGAAAAAATCAACTGTGGGAGCAATCATCAGAAAATGGAAGACATACAAGACCACTGATAATCTCCCTCGATCTGGGGCTCCACGCAAGATCTCATCCCGTGGGGTCAAAATGATCATGAGAACGGTGAGCAAAGATCCCAGAACCACACGGGGGGACCTGGTGAATGACCTGCAGAGAGCTGGGACCAAAGTAACAAAGGTCACCATCAGTAACACACTACAACGGCAGGGAATCAAATCCCGCAGTGCCAGACGTGTTCCGCTGCTGAAGCCAGTGCATGTCCAGGCCCGTCTGAATTTGCCAGAGAGCACATGGATGATACAGCAGAGGATTGGGAGAATGTCATGTGGTCAGATGAAACCAAAGTAGAACTTTTTGGTATAAACTCAACTCGTCGTGTTTGGAGGAAGAAGAATACTGAGTTGCATCCCAAGAACACCATACCTACTGTGAAGCATGGGGGTGGAAACATCATGCTATGGGGCTGTTTTTCTGCCAAGGGGACAGGACGACTGATCCGTGTTAAGGACAGAATGAATGGGGCCATGTATCGTGAGATTTTGAGCCAAAACCTCCTTCCATCAGTGAGAACTTTGAAGATGAAACGAGGCTGGGTCTTCCAACATGACAATGATCCAAAACACACCGCCCGGGCAACAAAGGAGTGGCTCCGTAAGAAGCATTTGAAAGTCCTGGAGTGGCCTAGCCAGTCTCCAGACCTCAACCCCATAGAAAATCTGTGGCGGGAGTTGAAAGTCCGTTTTGCTCGGCGACAGCCCCAAAACATCACTGCTCTCGAGAAGATCTGCATGGAGGAATGGGCCAAAATACCAGCTACTGTGTGTGCAAATCTGGTAAAGACCTATAGTAAACGTTTGACCTCTGTTATTGCCAACAAAGGTTATGTTACAAAGTATTGAGTTGTATTTTTGTTATTGACCAAATACTTATTTTCCACCCTGATTTACGAATAAATTCTTTACAAATCCTACCATGTGGATTCATGGATTTTTTTTTTCACATTCTGTCTCTCACAGTTGAAGTGTACCTCTGGTGCAAATTACTGACCTCTGTCATCATTTTAGGTGGGGGAACTTGCACAATCGGTGGCTGACTAAATACTTTTTTGCCCCACTGTATGTCAGTAAAAATACTTTGCAAATATTGCTGTCCTTGAATGCTGAATAAACACTGACAGAGCACTGATTGTATCTCTTGTACTTTATCAACACAGTATCTAAAAACTTTGCACCGTAGTGGTTAAAATCTCATTCTAATAAGAGTTAAAAGCGCATTTGGTTATTAGGTTTAAAGGGTTATTGAATTATGGTTAACCCGTTTGTGCCCAGATTTTTTTCAGAGTTGTAAGGCATATCATTTTATCAGTTGAGTCCCTCTGAATCATGTTATGTATTTATTTTTTCCATTTTGTACTTTTTTTGAAGAAAATAGCATTTTTATGACTGGCAACAATTGTTGCCAGTAGTCACACAGCTTGTCACTAGGTCAAATGTCACCTAATAATAATAATAGAGAAGTAATAATAATAATATAATAAGAACAAAATAATAATATAGTCATAATAAATAATAACAAAAAGGTGGAGCCTCAGGTTCCCCGTGTATAAAATTCAAAACATCAAACAATTTGAACTGATTTCTTTATTCTCAATTTTTTTATACTCAAAAACTCAACAAACATTTTTTCTTAGAACCTCTAAAAACATATATACATATATAACATATTTCTTCCCATACATTCCATCATCTTTCATGCATGTTCTACTCAGTGTGGTACTTCTTGAAGCACTCCACATGTAGTGGCACATCACACTTTCCACACGCAAATGATGTGCGTCCGCCGCAGTTCTTGCATCGCTTGTACCTGCTACCAGTGTTGCAGGGCCAGTGGTTCAAATTATCAAACCTGGTGGCATCAGTTATCGCCACCGCCATTGAAGATCTTCTGCCCTGCCTACTTGGCTTTGTTCCATGGCGCAGGAGGAGGGTCTGGGCTACCAGCCTCTGGAAGGAGAGGAGATCCTTCTCCCCGCTTTTCCAGGACCTAAATGAATGACAAAACAAGCATGATAGATGCATGAATGTGCATCGTTTCATCCTTTCTACGTCATGCCCCATATGTAGAATGTTCTGTAAAAGCAATATCACACTTGAGTTTGTGATGTTGGTCTGGATATCATCACTGTTGCTCTTGTCGACCGAAGAGCACTAGCGATGACCTCGAGTCAAACATCACCAACTCGATTGTGATATCACTAAATAACATACAGCCTTGTGTACCTGTAATAGCACCAGCTGTTCACCATGGCACTGTTCAGGGCCCAGCTGAAGCATGGCCACCACCACTTCTTGGACCGGATGTTGACTCTGTAGCGGCTGACAAACTGGTCATGCAGGTCCACTCCTCCCATGTGTGTGTTGTAGTCCTGGATACACTTGGGCTGTCTGACCTTGTCCATAGTCCGCTTCTGTTTATTCCATCTCTTCGCCTCAGTTTCGGTGAACTCCCTCTCCATGTTCGACACCACGGTGACCACGCTGTTGTCATTCCACCTTACAATCAGCTTCTCTGCCTCAACCAGATACTCAGCATCTCCTCTGGGTGTCTTCTTGAAGGTCTGACATCACAATCGTCTGACCAGAGAAGACGCCGCCTTGGGACTGTGTTGTATCCACTGATCAACAGAATACCGTAGAATGTAAGAAGTTCATCCTCAGTCAGGTTGAGCGTTTTCCCTTTTTGTTCAGCGTAGAGATTGGACATTTCCAGTGTGACATCTCTGAGGGACTTGGGATAAAATGTGAGGAAGATATCCACTGGATCATCTGATGTGAAGCCAGGATCATGTTCTTTGGGGACATAGCGAGGGATCTGATATTTTTTGTTGGCTTGTGCTGGTGCTTTGGCCGCAATTTTGATTTTTTTGAATTTCCTGTCTTGGTTCTTAGTTTTGTGGAGCATGGGCCCAACAATCTGACTGGTCACATTTTCATTTGTGCCACTGACCTTTCTAGTCTCTGTCTGACTCACTGAGGATGAGCACCCAGGATCATCATCGGGGGGATTTGGCAGCTGCATGTCCGAATTAGGTAGAAAGCCTTCACCTTTGAGTATTCTTGATGGGAGGCGGTTATGGTCACCAGTGGCCTCATCATCAGATTGGTCACTGTCACAGTCTGTGTCATGTGCGTGCATTTCTGACTCAGGCACAACTGTGATGTCCGCCACAGTTTCAGAGTCCTGCAGCATGGCCAGGATCTCTGCTACGGTGTACCTAAGGAAAGGACAACATACATGTTAGCTAGCAAGCGAATTTTAGCTAGCAAGAAAATGATGTATGGTAATGTATAAAAATCCTATACACAGAGGCCTTGAATACCTGTGAATTTATTTAGCTAGGAATTATTCTAAAAGGACTAAAATGAGCCATTGTACATCATTCTACAATTTTAAATAAGTAAATTAGGAGCAATCCTGCAGACAGTGTTTTCCTTTAGTTAGCGACATGCTATGTGCCCACTGGCAACTTTTGTTGCCACTCACAGAAATAAGCCCATGAACAAAAAAATATTTATCCTAGGTACAATTTTTTTGGGGAGGGTTACTCTAGAGACTTGAATGATTAAATAATTATAAATATGTTTGGGGGGAAAGTCATAAGAAATTTATGAAAATTACCTCTTTCCAGGATGATTTGCATCCGCCATGTCTTCAGCCAGAAAGAGCGGGAAGCAGATGATGTCATGCGATAGGAAGCACTTGGAAACGATTTTTTAAAAATCAAAACCTTTGTCTAAGTTGTCTACTAGCATATAAGTGGAAAAAGTTGCATTAGTACCTTTGAGATTTTTTATTGTGAGTCGAAAATGACAGTGATAAACTTTGGCAACAATTGTTGCCAGTGGGGCAAAACGGGTTAATGGTTGGTAGAATTGTTTTTAACATTACATCTGCCACCCTTCTCCAAATCTGTGCCCCTACCTGGCCCCCCCAACAAAAATTTTCTAGACACGCCACTGATAGAAGAAGGTCAAATTTGAAAGAAAACCATTCCATTCACAGTTAAGATGGATCAATTGATGAGTCTTATAGTGTACAAAGTTTGTCTTCTGTAGTACATGCTAGAAGACGAGCACAGGAATGGCCCTGGTCAGGTGCCTTTTTAACAGCCACCTTTGGATATAAAGTTCACTTATTTAAATGGTGGGAGAAATAAAATAAAGGCCTGTTGCTGTAAGAAATAAATAAACGTAGTTTGTTGAATTGAGAGAGTAATAGTGGCTCCACTTCATTTTTCTCACTCTCACTTGCAGCATTTCTTCCTGCCCTTAGAGGTAAAGGTCAATGAACTTCAAAGCACGAGAGGCAATAAAAGCAGATAAGGTGAGGAATAAAAACTGTCTATCAAAACACAGTTTCAACAATGGTTACCTATACTAAAAATACTAACTAACTATGAAAGCCATTGTTGCTTTTTGGAATCCTTTTTGCATGTCTCTGTCAACCTAGCTCCCTCCAAAACAATGCTTTGTGAGTCCAAAGGACCCCCTTTGATAAGGTTGATAGGTGTATTTGGACCAAAGGGAAAAGTGTTGAACAGAGTCCAAGAGTTACATGGATTTCCTGAAAGTAACTAAATGCTACGGAGCTCCCTCAAGCAGCTTTGGTACAGGTGCTGTTGTCCTGCTGTATCTGGACTGCTGATAAAAATGCCAACGTAAATCAAGTAACAAAGCTGATGAGGCATCCCATTGAGGTATGTGAAAGAGTTGTTGAAGCAAGGTTAGAAGAGCAATGATGATTAGTGAGGAGCAGTATATCTTCATGATGATTAAAATATCTACAGATGGATTGGCTGGTTTGAGACTATTGATGGACAAATATAGAGAAGGTCAGAAGGAGTTGCATTGTGTCTTTTTGGATCTAGAGAATGCATTTGACAGAAAACACTGTAGATCTGTTTTGAGGGTAGCGAGCATCTGGAAGAGAACTTGAAGAGAAGACATTTTCACTAGAACCCAGGCAGAATACGTGTGTGAACGACAGGTGGAAAAGTAAATATGCAAAGAACAGAGGTAATGAAGATAGATGAGTCTAAATACATGGACTCAACCATCCAAAGCAAGTGAAGAAGAAAGTAGATTCTGGGTGGAGTGGGTGGAGACAGGTGTCATGTGTCACAGAATGCTAACAGCAAGATTGAAAGGGGGCTTTTAAAAGATAGTAGTGAGACCTGCTATGATGTATGGTTTGGAGACTGTAGCACTGACAAATAGACACGGGGTGTAGTTGGAGATGCCACGATTTTTACTGAGAGCGACCAGAATGGATTGTATTAGAAATGAGCACATCAGAGGGACAGCTCAGGTTGAGGGGCTCGGAGATAAAGTTAGAGACAAGGTTGAGATGGTCTGGATATGTGTACAGGAGGTACTGTGAATAAACTGGATATATGATGTTCAAAATGGAACTGCCAGGCAGGAGGAAAGACCACAATTAAGGTTCATCGATAGGACATACCAAGGGTTGGTGTGACCAAGGAGGATGCTAGAGATAGGGTGAGACAGGAAGAATACTCCAGTGATTAGAAAGTGCCTAAATAGTACTCCAACGAAAAAAAACCCATGTAATTTTCACTTTTCAGACCTTTCAGCCTTTCTCTCCATGCATTTTATTTGCAGCTTTGTCATACCATTTAATTTGTATTGTCAGTAATCAGTAAATTTAAACACACAGATAAATGTTTCTGTTCATGCCACCAAAACATTCTTTGGTTTTTAAAGTGTGGGTTACTGCAAGGCAAGGTATTTACTTTGTTAGAGAAAATGAATTTACTTTTCAATGTTCCCGAAAGGGTTTGTTTCAAAAGAAGTGCTCATCTGAACAGGCATATAATACCAGAGGTACTGATATGCACACTGAATGGCAAGAATCTTGATGTAAATTTGACCAAAATGCAATGAACTGGCACTCCTGAAAGGTGCTTGTGGTGTTGCAATTGCTACAAGTGAAAAGTAGCAAAAGTAGGTGTGCGAAGAATTTAAATAAGAAAGCTCAAGAGAGAAGCAGCTTACTTTCTCACTTTCAAACACCAAGCCAATCTCTATGTAAAGTAGGTTCTTGTCAGATTGTCAGTTTCAGAAAGTCACACTAACAGTATAATGCTTGCTTCCAGTGCCAACATAGGAAAGATAAGTGCCTTGGGGAGGTTGCAGCCTCTATTCCAACTCCTCATGTGTTCTTCGCAGAGCCACAAAATAGGTTCTTTATTGAGCTTTTTTTTAAACTATATAACATTGAAAAAAAAAGTTACTTCTATATAAACCTCTTAAATCCATGCTGGTGAAAAGGAGTGGACTTTTTTCATTCTGTTTCATAATTTAACTCCATGTAGAGTCACTCGCATCTGTAAAGTTTCTACAAAGAGAAAGAAACAGGACCTTCCAATTAGTCATGGTAATGCTGGTTACAGATAAATAAGTGCCATGTTTTACAAATTTACAAAGTCCATGCAAGAAAGAAGGTGGTGGTAGCTGCAAGAGTAGCATTTTTTTTTATCAACCAAGAAGTTGTTATTCACATCCTGTTATTCACAAAGACTTTCATCTTTTGCGCTTGTTTGACAACTCACGGGTTAGTTTTGTTTTCACTTGGTTTTTACTTGCCCTTTCAGCAATTTAGCATTTTTAGTTTGTAAAACTAACCAAGTTTTTTTAGGGGCTCAGAGTCTTGAAAAAGGATTGATCCCATCTAATTTCTTATTTTTTGAATATTTGTCACACTCATCTGTGAAAAGTATAAGGTGCGAGTGGTGGACCTTCCAATTCTATTATTCTATGGCAAATCCCAGTCAGTCTCCAGAGAGCACAGGGCTCATTGAGGACACTGAACATTCAGCCCACTCTCATAATTATTTGGTCACAAACTTACATCAGTGGCCTGATAGATGTTATTTTGTAGCTCTGGCAGTGCAAAAAGTAGCAGATACTGGTCCTTCTGATGGGTTAAGGACTTTCTACAGCCCTGTCCAGTTCTCCTAGAGTCACTGCTTGCTGGCAGACACAGCAAACCTACTGGCAATGGCATGTACTGATGTGGCATCTTGGAAGAGTTGGACTATAAGGGCATTGTCTGTAGGGTCCAGGTGTCCCCTCAATCTATCAGAGTGATACTGACTTTAGGGGGGAAAAGAAAGAAGCATTTTGGAAAAAAAAAAAAAAACATGAGGGAAAAATGTCAGTGGCCTCCACCTGTAAAACTATTCTTGTTTTGGGGGTGTTTCATTGTTGCCCGTCTAGTGCATCTGATGTTAATTTTATTAACATAAAAGCGCTGTAAGTGAAGGAAGTGAGAGGTAAGTGATGGAAGTGACGGGAAAAGGTAAGCGACCCATGTTGTAGGTGACGTCGCAGACGCAGGAGATTTGGTGGAAAAAAAGCAAATGGTAGCATAGAATTTAACAAAGTTTCTTTAAGCTTCAGTATTGCCAAATAAACTAATCAATTGTCATATAACTAATAACTAGGGGTACAACAATACTCGTATCGATATTGAACCGTTCGACACAGTGCTTTCGGTTCGGTATGCATATGTATCGAACAATACAAAATTTTTAATTTATTTTATCAACTTTTCTTCTGACGATGCTGTCTGTGTTGAGCGCTCAGTGGATCTGCACTCGACAGTGCAGCCTAGGCAGGGTAGTCGAACGCAGATTCACTGAGCGCAGGGCAAGCTAGCAGATAGAAGTTAAGCTCTCGTTGCAACATGGCAAATTGAACCTCCCCCACCCTCATTCAGATCTGGCGTTTGGAACTATTTTGGTTTTCATGTGACGTATGACCCTGAAGGTAAGTGCGTCATGGACAAAAGTAAAACAGTATGTCGGATGTGCCACGCAATGCTCAATTACACTGGTGGGAACTAGTGCGTTAGCGCAGTTAGCTTGTTGACGTGTTGACGCCATCCAGCCCCACGCACGGGGTGATCCGCGGTAGCTCGTTAGCGGAGTTCTGCCGTGTTGTGGCATTAACGTCATTTCAACGAGATTAACGCTGACAGCACTAGTGGGAACACAACAAATATGACTGCACATTTACTCCGACATCATCCTAGTGCAAAGACAAGTGGAAGCAGACAAAAACAACAAGCACACATGCTACAAACTTTACCCGAGTCATTTGGACAGCCGTTAGCACATGATTCTCCTTATGGGGACCTGATATGTTTAATATGCTACTGAGAATATAGCCCAGAAGAAGCGTATAGTATAGCATTTATTTTGGAAAGAGCCATTTCCCTGTAATAAACTCTCTTTTCCAAAGATGAGTGATTTCTTGATCAGATTATTTTATCCCTTTGTTGTTTCAGCAACATTAAATTTTAAAACTGTACTTTTCAGTTAACATATATATTTATAATTTTAATAAATGACAAATTAAAAAGGCATGAGCATTTTTTTTTGTATCGAAAAAATATCCAACCGTGACACCAAAGTATCGAACCGAACCGTGAATTTTGTGTATCGTTGCACCCCTACTAATAACATCTGTCCTATCATCTCTAACACCCTGGAGGACAATGGGGAGAGTTTAGACGCTCTCCAAGATTACATTGACCGGTGCTTCCAAGATTTAGTAATGAAGAAGGCTCAGAGTGCATCTTCCCCGGCCAAAATTGAGACACCGTCATTGAAGAGATGTCGCCCGCCAGACTCCCCCGGCACAGCATCACCTGCCGGCAAAGACATTGCAGACATCCTGGAGTCAATCGACAAGCGATTTTCCAGTTTCGATGCGAGGCTGTCCCTGGTGGAGATTTTAGACCGGGAATTTAAATCTCTGAGAGAATCCCTGGAATTTAGCCAGGAGCAGGTGGAAACGCTTGCTGCTGAAAATTCCACGCTACGGGAG